GATTGATGTGAATTCACGTACGCGGTTTGCCCTGTCTTGCTCGCGATGGGGAAGAGGTGCATTCAAAGAGGGCGATGAAGTCGAAGTTACCATGGGGAGGGGACGGGAGGCGGTGTCCTCGTGAACAATTAAATCACCATCGTTTTGTGCCCGCGCTTCTTGTGCAATTTCCCGAACCCGGGGGGAGGACTGTTCTGGAAAAGAAGGAATATCACCTAAGGGAATAGGCACAAAAGGGGGCCTCACCTCGTTGGTTGACTTGAGCAGCCTGGGGACGCGCTGTGGGTGGAAGAGCATATATAACTATGAATATGTTAATACATACACGATTTGCCCTCTCGCGCGCGCGACGCGCACGTTGTGCAATCTGGCGAGGCTGCAAAGGAGGACTGTCTCCTATTGACCTATGTGGAAGACGATTAGCAGACGAAACAAAAGTGTGTAGGGACGTATGCAAGAAAACACACGTTGTTGATGTCCGCACGTCAGTATGTTGCATACTTCGTTCTTTCTGTCGGCATGATTGTCGCATCTGTGGAGGAATAGAAGACATAGCAAGAGAAGATTGTACACGGAGCATACAGCGGATGGAGATGCGTGGGAAATGAAGTCCGTCCTCGAAACAACTTCTACGGTTACGGTGCAAAAGTGTATGCGGAGATGAAAGCGAGCGACAATTTGCGAAAAGCTCGCCTAAAGAGAGATGTAGCCTCTAGTCGCGGCATCGCTCTGATTCGCTCGACACCGATAGGTGATGTGTTTGTTTGTTGATGATTCGTTGAGTTTCACACTTTCACACTCGCACACAACGAAATCAGAGGAATCTGAGAGGATATGTGCAAGCGTGCGGCAACGGCGAAATGCTCGCCGAAAAGAGTACGCATGTAGATGTAACCGCACAGTTGAGAAACCTGAATTGGGTGGGAAATACATGGGTCAATCGCTTTTATAAAATGAAGTAGCCACGATGAAGTTACGGAAACAGTTTACAGTAACTTTTGGTGTTTTTTTGCAGAGGTGTGGGTCAGGGGTCTGGGAAGAATGGAGACAAAAGTCATTACAGTAAATCAGCTTTTACAGTCAGAGCGAGTTGGCCTCAATGTAATAATCGACATCCTTGATGCAAGAATTAGAAAAAGTAATGAATAAAGCGCGGTGTTCAAACCAAAACACTCACAAAAGCGTCGTCGTCATGATCCCATATACCCTGACACTGGCAGACTTGTTCAGGCTGGATCTCGTTTTCTATGTGTCCCCTGTTCACTCTCGCCACGCGCTCTGCAAAGTTGTCCAGTCCCAGTCCGCCATGCCGACTCGAACCACCGCAGCGCATTCCCCCCCAGTCGCCGCTGCGATCGTGACCACGACTACCCCCGGACCCCATTCCCTTGCTTATAAAGGCGGCGTACCCTAAATCATCCGTGGCATCGCCGAAGCCTTCCAGCATCATGATGCTGTCCCTCCAAACGTACGCATCTTCTGGCTTGGCCGCTTGCGCTGGTTTCCATGCAATGCTGGTTGTCTATGATCGCGAACATGCGAGGCAGGACGGCAGGATTCTGTCTGCAAAACGGCCATCTCGACATATCCCGAATTTCGGCCAATTTCCTTTCACAACCCCACCACCGACCAGATGGCAAATAGGTCTTGTCATGGGAATACACGCAACTGCTAACTCTGCAGTCTCCGAGTAAGAAGTGCAGACAAACGTTGCGTCCACTAGTCAGCGTCCAAAGTCAGCGTTCCTCCACGCAAGCGGAAAGCCGGAAAAAAAGACATACAGGCGATCTCGCACACTCTTGTAATCCGGCGCGTGCGAAAACCTGCACTCGAGTCCCTGCTTGCAGCCGTCGTGATTGTAGGACCTGCAGGGAACACCGTTCCCCTCGTGGTTAAAATCGCTCGAATCCGACACCGACTCGAGCTCGACCTTCGAGTCGAAGTTGAATCGCGGACGGCAGTCTTCCGACTCGATGGGCTCATCTTCTTCATTGCGCTCCCTCATGAGAACGAGTACCTCGTCGAGTGCTTTCTTTGTTTCGGTCGAGTCTGGATGTTGCTCGAGTACAGGTCGCGAAGTCTGCGTGAGTTTGCCAACAGTCAGGTCCTGGCGTCAAGATATGAGGGAGTGGCACAGGTTAACGCACCGACACCAGCCGCGGTGAGTTGAAGGTTTCCCTTGCGCGCCTGACCACGACGAAAGCGTGTCCTTAGCGAACTTTGGATCAATGCAGAGCGCGCGCTTAGCGCATTGCTCTGCGGCATCATATCTGCGAGGCATTTCGCACGTCAGTGGGAGGCGGCACCCATGGTGTGGGCAAAACTCACGCTTCGAGCTTCAGCCATGCCGCGGCCATGTTCGAGAGGTACGTGGCGGTAGGGCCGTGGATCTTGACTGCGACTTCGTATTCTGCGATAGCCTCGCGGTACTCTCCCTTGCGGAAGTGTGCGTTTCCCTGAAACGTCATGTCCTTGAGGCGATGCTACCATTAAGCAAATATTATCCTACATACCAGTTTCTTTGTGTTCTTCTGCTTTGACACGCCTGGCCTCTGCGCGCTGTGCGCGCTTGAGGGCTCTTGCCTTTGACAACTCTTCCTTCTCGGCGCATGCTTTGGTGGTGGCTGCTGGTCCCACTAGTAAGCCCACTGGCCCTGGTTGTCTGTTGACGGCTGGGGGCCATTGCAGTGTTAGAGGGAGTTGAAGTGGTTTACGCTAGGGGTTTTGAGTCGTCGCATCCTCACCGAGGCATATTTTAATGACGTCATTATCCCAGATTGTGATGTCGCTCCCGTGGCGAGAATATTCTGAACAGTTTTTGGCAAGGTTTTTTGGAGATTTCCGGACTCGGTCAGGAAAATACGGAATCACGCTGACTAATATACATTCGTGATTGGTACGATCGCGGTCTCGTGATGCGGAGGAATCTGTTGAATTGCATATATTTTTGTGTCCCGGTCGCGTACTGCCGCCACGAAATGTCCTTCATCAGTCCAGAGGATCGCGCATACATGTCACCTTCGTCTTCACCGGGGGGATCGCCATCTACTTCTTCCGTTGTGGACTCTTCCCCCCTTTCGTCGCCATCTCTTCTGCCCCTTGATCTCAACCGCCCAACAACACCACTGGGCATAAGCCATCCATTTGCTGGATCTACGCACGCTACAAAGCACCCTTCTAATGAACTTCGATACCCTAACTCGTCCTATGCACCCGCCAGCTGGGCATATCGATCCAATATATCGTCTTCTGCAGACCACTCCAAAGTGCTGGAAGATATGTTTCATGAGGAGGAGAACTTCTCACAATCAGAGTTCGGGCCAGAACCTCCAGATGAAGCCACCCTGTGGGAAGAGAAAATCACACGAGCGGTCGACATGGGTGAGGCTGAATTCACTTGGAAGTACGTGTGATCATCCTCTCGCCGTAAACGTCGTCACACACTACTCACGAAGGTTTAAGAGGCGCAGATCTTACCTCTGTACCTCCATCCATTATGGAACTCAACAGCCTCGGCGTCGTTGCTGAGCCAACGCAGCGCCCTTTTAAGCGCGTGCAGACCGCACCAGCAGTCTTCTCGTCTCCACATAGATCCCTCTTCGCCCATTCCGTCGCCCCCGGCAGGACCCGGTCCCAAGGTCTTATGATCTTTCTCGCAAACAACGTAATCAAAACCTTACCCCCGGAGTTCTTCAGACTGAGCAACCTGACTGTGCTCTCTCTCCGTGCGTGCCTCACTGCCCCCTCTCTAGTTTTTTGGGCATACTGATAACAGCCACGAGGGCAGGGAACAACATTCCTCGAGTCCATTCCGCCAGAAATCGTGCAGTTGCATGCACTCAGGGATCTCGATGTAGTCAACAACAACTTGCGCTTCCTCCCAGCTGAGATGACCACGATGACCTTCACCAATCTCAAGGTCCACACGAACCCATGGCACCCAGACCCTGCCAACCCCGCGGCTCACGACGAGCTCAGAACCGCTGACGCCACGACGCGCGTACACTTTCGCGTCCCGCCACTGCGCGAAGTGATCCTGCGCTACCTCCTCACGCCATCTTCGACGAACCAACAGCGCCCGCTAGCGCCGCACCTAACCACGACGTCGACATCGACGACTGCACGCACGCGGCACCAACCGACGACGCTCGAGGAACGCTTCCTGCTCCCACTCCAAGATGGTGCGCTCTCCCCTGCCGATGCGGCGCTCTTCGCGCGCGTCGCACCAGCCGCGGTATCCGCCCCGCGACGACATGGATTTTCGCGCTCCACGACAACGAGCGCGGGCGCGGGCATGTTCTCCTCGGCGCATATCATGGCGGAAAGGAGGGAGCGCGGGTCTCTTGCGCTTGATGCGGCTGGAGTCGCACAGGAGCAAAAGGGTTTTGGGCGTTGTCCGTCTCCGCGGCACTGCGGTATTGCGCTGACACCAGCACCAGCGGCGGCAATGGCATGGGCGCGACTTGGCCCGCCGTTCGTGCTGCCCGCGGAGGAACGGTATACGTGGGTGACCGAGATCGCGGGCGTGCGGGTCGGCGAGACGACGGGTGGGGTGCCGCTCCTGTGGCGCGGGTGTGGGCGAGGATGTCTGGACTTTTTGGACGGCGCCGCCCCAGCATCGGGCCGGGAAAAAAATTGACCTGGTGCGGAATTTGGGGGAAGGGTGTCATGTCGTGTTGATGATGCGATGCGATTGAGGTGAGCGCGTGCATACGTGCATGTAGGTAGATCGATCGACCGGGTACATATTGTAATATTGTATGTATAGAAGCGAATGTACAGTATCATAGGTTCATACGCTTGACAGTGCCACAGACACGATCTGTTCTCTAATATTCCCCAGTCGGAGGAAATTTTCATCGTCCTCGTGCTAACTTAGTCACTGGTACTAGTCTACACGCTCGCCACACCGCCATTGAAATCACAGGAGTTCCTATTCTCTACAGCGACGAGAATCGAAAAGACAGCAAAAAGTAAAGGGGGCGGGGAGGAAATAAAAATGCCAACTAGCCGGTTTGAACGACTGACCTCGTCATGCAGATCTAGTTTTCCACCAGAACGTACAAGTGACGCGCTCTACCACTGAGCTAAGCAGGCCTGAGGTGTTGAATGCTCGTTGCCCCATGTTGACGTTCTTGGCTAACACACGTTTTCGCTCTCCCTCGGATATCGGCTATCTTCGCCTGTTTCGGCCTGCCTGGATCCTGATTCGACTTTCGATCGCCACCGCCTTAACTGGTAGCTCGTGTCGGCGCTTCGCGCCTCCTTGTTTCTGTCTCCCTCTCATATGCTAATATTAGTGGACAACCGCGCTTGACCGCACACGTGAGAACCTGTGTCTCGCCTTTCCGCGCCGCTATTGCACCGGCCAATACGTTTATCTTCTGACCGTTGACTAGCTAGCTTCAAATCGACGTCGTCCCCAGCACGCCACCAGGAGGACCGGTCTCTTCATAGTCAAAATCCAGGCTATACTCGTTCCCCCGATGCGTCTACCCGTGCCTGAGGTGCCTCTTCTCGGCATGTTTCCCAACTCGCAAATTTCTCTGCTCTGCTGAACACGTCATGTGGCTCCGCGTCTGTTTAAAACCCTTCCTGCACAATAGGTGGTCCCTCAATGATCGGCTTTGTGCTTTCACCCTCGTAGCTCAGGGCGCCGTTTACACGATATGCCGCCTTAGAGCGCTTGAAATTTTGAATTGGCAGAGAAGGTGATGTGAGTGTTTCGCAGGCAGATAGAGGCGTGGCGGCAGAGGGTCAGAGCTACAAGGGCAATTATAGAGTGAGTTGGAGATGGGTGTTCCGAATCGAGGGAGGAACTCAAGTGCGTCTCCTATCCACTGCTGTACACACATTCATTTGATGATCCAGGTATTCCCGCCATCTCGTATGTCATATTCTCCTACCAAATGTTCAAGGACGTTCCAGTATCGCGTGTCCGATCCGCCGACTTTACTCTCTACGGTCTCCCGCAGGTTTGACGGAAAGTCATTGACCCCCGACCAATGGGAAACAGGACCATTAGCGTGCGCGCGCGCACGCACGCGCATGCCATTACACCCCCGTCACTGCCAAGCAAACCGTCCTTTCCACATCTGACGCACCGTGCCGCTACACAATTATTTAACGTCCTTCCGACGGGTTGATGTCGAACCATAATCCAACCCAAACATGTAGACGACCTGCCCCCGCAAGCGAAAAATTTAGGGATGAGTAGAATGACGGCTTGCAAAATGTGAAAGCCCAATCAAGGGACGGGCACCATGTTGCGTGGCGCGGCCGGATTCCCGAACACGCACGACCCAAACATATAAGCTCGCTCGACACGACAATGACGAGCGTGAACGCGTGAACGCTACCATGCCATATGGTCATTTGGAAGGGCTCGCCCTCCGCTGCCGGGTCTATCGAGCTCTAACAAACTGATCAAAGACTGAATTCGACAACCCACATGAGCTGTTCCTCCTTGTGCACACTTCGAGGTTCAGCCCCCCTCCCCTAGCCCTCGCCTTGGTTGAAAATAGCTCCCCCTTAGTGTCAATACACAATGTCGATTACCAGTAAGAGACGACGCAGTGATGACGCATATACTGAACCTCTCTTCCCCCAGGCCCGTTAGTCATCCATTCTTCCGCGTTGAAGAACGGAACGTCGCGCGGCAACCACCATGACTTCAAGACCAGCGTATGGTCATACTTCCCCTGTCCCATCCGAATATGTGCCCACCAATAACGGCGGACGGGAACGAGCCCCGACCGCAAGTGCTTCACTTATTCCGATTGAGCGACCATAAGCTGTCCTTTGGGCCAAGGACATTTCGCTGATCTTGCTGAAATGCGCGTTTTTCCAAACGTCGCCATCAGGTCCAGACCGGGGATCGTGCCCATTAATTAGTCAGTGATCGAATGGGCGTGTTTTGTGCCCCCACGTCTGGTACCATCACCTCTACCAATGCGTGCAGAAGCGTGCGTGACTGTTTCTGACAACCTGCAACCACCAAATCCAGCTGGGTTCCGTGTAGTCCACCGTTTCTGTTCCCGACCTCGCGGCACTTGCGCGCGACATTAGCTCTTCGACGCCGTCATGTCCACGACTGCCACAGGTCCACATTCAACATCTCGTGACCCGCGGAAGCTTGCGCAACCGCTTGCACTGCCTCACTCACCCCTCACGTCCCGTGCACATTGTAGACTGTATTGTCTAACTTCCCCATGTATTCTCATTCCCATACTGTCCCTTGATGATATTCTTCATGCCAATGTCTTTGACTACCCAATAACTGGTGCTAACTTCCACAGAGCCTAAGAGAGATGCGGCATGCGTCTATCCTCTCCCTTCAATTGCTGACTCTGACTAGGTAACCTTGTCAAGCAAGGTGATGGGATCCAAACAGAACTGGTAGTGAGGATCGAGGAACACCGCTCGCGTCACACTGCGACGTGTTTGGTTGTGGAGTTAAAGCGTTCCTCCCAGAAATCCGGAGACGAAAGTTAAGATGCAACGCGATAGGCTCGGGTCTGATAGGAATGAGTCCGAATGATAAATTGATAGTCCCCTGGAGCCACTCTACGGTTGCGATAGTACAAACAAGCCTGCTGCGCTGATCGTCACAGAGGATCTCAGTCCCTCTGGGTGCACAACTTGAGCTTGAGCTTGAGGACGTGAAACATAGGCAAGCCGCCGTGCCCAGACGTGGCGTGTTTGAGCTTCGGAGCTCGGGCCTTCCTTCCGGGGCCTGGCCTCGTGATATGTGGATTCGATGATTCGAGATCCTAGTTCCGCTCCATGCCGACAAAGGCTAGTCATGGTTCACGGATCTATTCTGTTCTATTCTGTTCTAGGACAGCGGAGCCGAACGAAGCTGCTCCTCCTTGTGCAGGCGACGAACGGGGGGGCCAGCAAACTCATATAGAACACCCGAACTGAGGAGCTACGGGGGAAAACGGAGGTTACAGTGTTCTAAAACATTCCAAAACGAAAAAGAGAACGTCATATGAAATACAGGCGTACCAAGTATGTATTGTATTCGTGCTCACATGAATCCATGCACGGTCGGTACCGCGAAACCTTGTTTCACCGAATCATCTCCTTCCCGCACAACTCCGATGCAGTCGCAACAGAGTAAGAGGTTTCCCTGCAGGGCCCAGGGCCAAGCCGTGTCAGCCAGTTAAGAGGAGAGTATATATCAAACCCACTTTGAACCCCTATCCTCCAGCTTCTCTCTCAAGGCGCCCTCCCACCATCTCCCACACCGACCTTCACAAAGAACCCCCAAATCTCCAGCGTGGTTCCGTTACTCGTCGTCCTCCTTTCCCGCGCCGAACGTCCTCATCGTCACTGCAACACGGCATACTACCGTCACATCCACCTCTCAACCATGCTTCTCTACACCGCGTTCGTCGACGTCATCGCTAAGACCGCGTCCATCTTCTCAGCGGCGCATCTGCTCGACCGGGTGCTCACGCGCCTCTGTGAGTTTCGACCGTTCTGGGAGTGACTTGATAGCTAACGCCTGTCCTTGATTCGTGCCGTCATAGCAGTGATACTGCCGGTCGGAGCCGGCATCGCATAGTGTGAAATGGCCACGTTGTGGCAGATACCCGTTACCTCTTCAAAAAACCAAAGTCACATCGTGGGGAGGAACGGATGACGACAAGTCTTTAACGAGTTCTATGACAAGATAACAGCAGGAGTCCAGTGATCGGCGCAGGCGTTCTTCCAATTGTATCCCTATATCACGTTTGATTATTCGCTTCGTACCATACGCACCCAAACTAGTAATATTTTAGGATCCATGTGCTTTTTTGTATGTGAATATGATGTCTTCTTTTTCTGATTCATTCGCACAAAGGCAGGAAAAAGGTTTACTTTGGTGATGGTTATTGGTTCTAGTACACGCGAGCATTTATGAGAAATTAGAGAGAAGCCCGCCTATGCAGTCCATACGCGGCGGATGAGCTCCGTCAAACCTGGAAGACAGACATCAGTTGTGAAGAAAGCGGCGGGCGAAAGATAAAGCACGGGCACGCTCGCGCGCGCGCGCGCACGTGCGTGTTGTAGATGCGGACACGTACCAATATCGTTCGTGTTGAACTGGTACACGCCCACGCCAACGGCAAGCGTCGTCACGCGCAGCGTCCAAGTAAACAGGGGGCCGAGTGTGGGGAACTTGCGCTTATGGACGTAGTCCACCAAAACCGCATCAAACTGTCCCAAACGTCAGCATGCGTTGGGGGGAGGTGAGAGAAGGAAAACGCACGCCAATGTGGCTGTGCACGATAAGGCTGACGCCGAGGAGTCCGTCGATGAGGGGCGCGGACGAGCCGGAGGTGACAAAGGCGGCTGTGGTGAGCGGCACGAGGCCTGCGGCGAGAAGGCGCTCGAAGGACCAGTGGTACGAGCCGTGCGACTTGGACGGTGGGGGGAACGTCGTCGGGTCATTCACCGTGCCCTTGTAGATCGCTAGTCAAAAAATTAGTAGGTAGGTAGTGGGAAGCGAGAGAGAAGACGTACGACCGCCGGGAACGTAGGCAAAGTTGGTGGACGAGCGGCGTGCTGTGGGGCGCATTTGTTCAACTCCGAATATGGGGTGAAAGAAAAGACGGACGCACCGAGCTGTTGGAGTTGGAGAGCGACGAGGGGACGCTTGGTGGCCGCCAGAGACTGGCGCAAGACGACGGTGGAGGCCATTTTCGGCGTGAGTGAGGGTTCGACGGGAGAGATTGTCGGTCGTCTTCGGGCGTGTGCGGGTGCCAATCACGTGGCGCCAATTTCGGCTTCGTTGACTCCCAGTCGCCGGAGAACGAAGTATAACTCGGAAAATAGTTCAAAAACGTTCACGCGCGTTGAATTGAACTGAACGATTTGCTTATTCTGTCTGAGTCCTGCAATCTAATAGAAGTTGTTCTAAGGCGATCCATTGGACCATTTGGCCCGCATACAGCACTTCTGACTGTTTCGACTTCTGCCAGTTCTCCGCATTCCCCGCGTTCCTGAGCGTCTCACATCTTCGTGCACCTTACAGTAGCGGCTTTACATAGACCGACGCTTCCCCGATACAAGCGGAACTATATACGAAGTTATACTCCACGCAGAGG